TTTTTTTACTTTTTTTTTTTTTATTCTTATGTTAATCCCCATACATTACATCATTAGTTCTAGATGAAGTGTTCCATGATTCATTGTTCAATAAAAACTATTTTTTAAAAAAAAGTGCTGAAGGGACCATGACTCAGCCACTGCCAGGCTTCAGAGCACAAACCCTGGGGGCAGAGTGAGATCAAGCAGCTCCCCAAGGTAGAGGAGACCAGAACAGGCTGAGCCTCTGGGGCCTGGAGCAGAGAGACAAAGAACCCTGGGAGCTGTCAGGGACCAAGATGGATCCCGGAGCTCAAGAGCAAAGATGCCCAGAGGATCATTCCCTAGCCACTTCAACCCTCCTTTAACAAAAGATCCGAGCAAACCGAAGCTCACTTCTGGGACACACATACACACATGGCTGCCCAGAAACCTAGAAAAGGATGACCTCGTCAAAATGTATCATTCGGTATTAACAATTCATCATTTTTTTTTAAAAGCAGAACAAAGCAAAATTAATTCTATTGCTTCAAGGAATTGTGGCCTTAGAATTAAAGACTACAAATGAGACTATTTCCAATTCTGGAATAAATGATGGGTGGTGAGGGTACACTATGTAATTTGACCCCAAGGGACAGAGCCTCTCTCCCTGATGTCAATTGTGTTAGAAAAGGCATTCCTTTTTCCGCCCCCCCAAGAAGGATTCCTCACCTGATGACCCCAGGGCTCCAGAAAGCTCTTTAGTCCTAGGTCATGGCCCTGGCCAGGGAGTGGACGCCTAAACAAACCATTTAATACAACCTGAGATTAAAGAGATATTATACCCAGAAATCTTAGGTTCCATAACTCAGAGGGCATCGAGGCCGTCCAGTGTGGAAATTTCATTTTAGACTATTAGCTCTAATATGCGAAATCCTATGAAGGGCTTATGTGATGTCTTTCTTTGTTCTTCAGATTGGTTCATTTCTATTGCTCTGTCTTCAATTTAACTGGTTCTCTCTTCCGTCATTTCCAATCTGCTGTTAAGCCCAACCAGTACATTTTTTACTTCAGATACATTTTCAGTTCCAGAATTTCCATTTGATGTACTTTTTATAGTTTCTTTTTCTCTGCTGAGATTTCCTATTTATTCAGTTACTACAATCATATTCCTTTACGTCCTTGAGCATGAAGGAGCTACTTAGAAATTCTTGTTTACTGGGGCACCTGGCTGGCTCAGTCAGTGGAGTGTGCTGCTCTTGATCTTGGGGTCGTGAGTTTAAGCCCCACATTGGGTATAGAAATTGCTTAAATAAATAAACTTAAAAAAAAAATCGTTTTCTATGAATTCTAGCACCTGGCTCATCTTGGGATTAGTCTCCAAGATTACCTTTGCTTTGAGTAGGGGTAATGTTTTCCTCTTTCTTCTTATATTTACTAATTTTAGATTACCCTGGACATTGTAAATGATATGTTGTAGAGACTCTGGATTCTGTTACACTTCCTGGAAGAGTGTCTGTTTGTCAGCTTGACTATTCTGTTGATCTGGCTAGGCTCCAACTGCAAACTCGGTCTTCCCTGCAGGGGACAGCAGCTGCCTCTCTGTCCAGCTCCTCAGCCTTGGCTGGGCTGCTTAGGGTCGGTCTTACACACGCACAGTTCGGGGGCCAACCAGAGAGGTGAACAGTTTATACAAAGAGCCTGGGGCTCCCACTTTGTGGCTCTTCACTTGCCAGGTGCTGCTGTGGTAGCTAGGAACTCTGTCCTCTGGTTATTCAAGCCAGTGAGCCTGAATGTTTCCTGAGTTTTAGCCATCTTGTTTGGTGTCACCTGGGGCTTGCCCTGAGGCTGATAAGCCATAAAACTTGAAAACCTATCCAGTCCCTTTGCCATTGTCCACGTGGCTCCTTCTTCCATTCTTTACCTCTGCCTTTTTGGGGGCTGCTCTTTGGTGCCTTCAAGTAGTTGTTCTTGATCATTTGGCCAGCATATGAGGTTGTTTTCTATGGGAGGGTTGGTCTGTTAAGAGCAACTCTGCCATTACCAGAAGAATCCAAGCCTTGGGGTGCTTAGATAAAAATGCAGTGTCAGATGCCATTCCCAGAGGATACTGATGAAGCAGGCTTGGGGTGAGGCCCAAGAAGCCACGTCGTCAGAAGCGCTGCAGATGACCCCACTGACACTCTGGGAACCAGCACATATTTCAGGGCATTCCTGAGTCTTTCCGTCTCTATTCAAATACCGCCTATCACGTTGATTCCTTCTTATTTACGCATATACTCACAGAAAATCCAACTTAAGCTATGTTTATTTACCATAGAAGAACAACAAACAAGGCATACTTAACAACCAGTGTTGGTGACACAGCAAAGCACAGATCCTCATGAAGGAGCATAAGCTCAGGCTTCAGGCAGTGGCCTACAAGGCACATCATGGAGCCACAAGAATGGCAGGGAAATTCCACACAGAGTGAACTGAAGCCATCAGATCAAGAGACAGTGGGGTTGCTCTTTAGAAGAGAGCTTATAGAGAAGGTTCCCTTCAGGAACCCAATGCAGTGAGCTCAAAGAAAGACAAATACAGACTCTGGTCAGATCAGCAGGGCTTGAGGAAGTCTGCAAACTGGACTTCCGGTGAATTCTGGCCCTCCCCGTATCGTGGACTAATTTCAAACTCCTCAAGGACAGACCACACCTACTTTTTTACCACTACAAGCTCAGCACCAGCACACTGCCTGATGGACTAGGCCCTCAATAGAGATTGGCTAAGCGAATAAAAGAAAGAAATTTTCTGGGGCCAGAGGTTATCAAGTGAGTGACATGGGTCAAAAGGCATTAGACATCAGAGAGAACAACCTCTCCCATGGGGGCTCTATCGGGAAATAAACCAAAACAGCCCTAAATGGTCAGTAACTGGACATAACCAAATCTGGAAGACTGCAAAGGCTGGCCTCCCTTAATTTTCCCACCAAAGGGAAGCACTCAATTCTTGCACTTATTTTTCTCATACTCATATCACAGGTACACTTACTGTAGAATTTTCTCGCAGTTCAGAATCTGTGGACAGAAGGCTCAAGTCACTCAGACAAAGTGAGTGATTTGTATCCTGTGAAAGAGAAAAAATTCTAACTGAGTAACAAAAAAATCAGAATTTATAGTAGCATAGCATGTAATAAAACACTTGATCACAATGTCCCTACAGTTCCAAATGTCAAGATTTGTTACTTGGAGAGGTAAAAACCATCCAAAGAAAGGGCTATGTGAATTATTTTAATTTTTAAAATCCTGATATTCTTAGAAGACTGTCTTATATTTCTTAAAGATGGTTAATAGAAGAGTTTAAGAAATCTCATGACTCCGGCTCCAAGTAGCAAAAGCTGTAATAATATGAAATTAGTAATATTTGTATAATTGGTTTTATCCTTTACAAAGCAATTTCACATGACCTCATCTGCTATTCATATGAACCTGAAGTATTTTATTTTTTTTTTTTAAGATTTTTATTTATTTACTATTGAGAGAGAGAGAGAATGATAGAGAGAGAGCATGAGAGGGAGGAGGGTCAGAGGGAGAAGTAGGCTCCCTGCTGAGCAGGGAGCCCAATGGGGGACTCGATCCTGGGACTCCAGGATCATGACCTGAGCCGAAGGCAGTCGCTTAACCAACTGAGCCACCCAGGCGCCCCGAACCTGAAGTATTTTATATTCCCATTTTAAGTATGAGAAAATTAATGCTAAGACTGACAGTGAACTGGGGTGCCTGGGTGGCTCAGTTGGTTAAGTGACTGCCTTCGGCTCAGGTCATGATCCTGGAGTCCCGGGATTGAGTCCCACATTGGGCTCCCTGCTCAGCAGGGAGTCTTCTTCTCCCTCTCCCGCTCCCCCCTCTTGTGCTCTCTCTCTCTCAAAATAAAAATAAATAAAATCTTTAAAAAAAAAAAAAAAAAAGACTGACAGTGAACTGTCCAAAATCACATAGCTAATTAGCAGAAACACAAACCCAGTGCTGATGGGAACTCCACTACTGTATCGCTGTGTCCCCAGCATCCCAGGGATTCTTACTCAGCAGTACTGAGGACTTGCTTTCAAATACGACTGCCTCGGCTAACTCTGAACTCTGGATTCCTAGAATGCCAGCTGCAATTCACACACTTTAGGTGGTATCCCTGCTTACCTCATGGATCAGATGTTTCCATTCATACATGCATTCAACAAATAGTCACTGAGCGTCTACTATGTATTAGGAACTGTTCCAGGCCCAGGGATACAATAATGAACAAAACAAGGTCCCTGCCACCACAGAGCTTACATTGGGGCGGGGGTGTGTGTGTGACAAAATCCCCGAAGAATACAAGATGATGCTAAGTGCTACGGAGGGTAGAGGGAATAGGGAATGCCAGAGCAGGAGATGTCCTTTTATTAGATCAGAGGAGGCCTCTTAGGTAAGCTGGCATTTGAGCAGATACTGAAGGAAAGAGAGCATGGGCCATGCACATCTCTGGGAAAAGTGTTCGAAGCAGAGGGTACAGCAAGTACAAAGGCCTGGAGGCAGGAATGGGCTTCCCTTGTTTGAGGACTACAAAGAGGACAGTACAGTTAAATGAGAGAAAGAGAAGTAAATGAGGCCAGAGAAGTGACCAGACCAGAATCTATAGGGCCCTGTGGGCCACTGTAAGATTCTGACTTTTGCTCTAAGTGATGCAAGAAGCTACTGGAGAGTTATGAACAGAGAACAGACATTATTTGCCTTATGGTTTAGAAAGATTGCCCTGGGTGAAATAGGTAAACCAGTCTGTGTCAAGGCAGAGTGGGAGTAGGGAGAAGGAGAAAGGTGTGAGGAAGATCACTTAGTGGTTACCGCAGTAATCCAGAAAAAAGGTGACAGCAGCCTGAACAAAGTTATCAGAAATGATCAGATTCTACGTATATTCTCAAGGTAGAGCTGACAGACTTTGCTGGCAGATGTGGGATATGAGGGGAAAGAAAGCGGTATCAAGAACGACTCCAAGACTTTTGGTCTGTGCCACTAAAAACACAGAGGTACCATTTACTAAGGTGGGGACCTGTAGGTGGAGGAGGTTTGGACATATCAAATTTGAGAAGACTGATGTTTTCTGGGCTGAAGAGGGAGGCTGAATATATTGCTCTTCCTCAACTTACAGTGCAGCTACGTCCTGATAAACCCAGCCTAAGTTGAAAATGCACTGAATACCTAACCTTCTAAACATCACAGCTTAGCCTAGCCTACCTGAAACGTGCTCAGAACACTTACATTAGCCTATAATTGGGCAAAATAATTTAACACAAAGCTGATTTTATAACAAAGTGCTGACTAGCTCCTGTAACTGACTGAATACTGTACTGAAAGGGAAAAAACAGACCAGTTGAATGGGTCTGGAATAGTTGGAAGTGTTATCAGTTGTTTACCCTTGTGATTGCAGGGCTCACAGGGGGTTGTGGCTTGCTCCCACTGCCCAGCATCACAAGAGAGGATCATACAGCCTACTGTTAGGCCAGAAAAAGATTCAAATCAAAATTCAAAGTATGGTTTGTACTGAATGCATATCACTTTCACACCCATAAAATCAAACCACCCTAAGTGGGGCCTGTCTATACAAGGCTAGAGTTCAGGAAGAGATCCAGGCTGGAGATCTTTATTTAGGACTTAGAGGCAATCTAGATGGCATTGAAAGCCTGGGACGAGAGCAGCTTCCCTTTACTGGGGAATGAGCTGCGACCCAGAGAAGACGAGATCTGAGCACCATGCACTGGGGCGTCCCAGTGCTTAGGGGCTGTCACCAATTAAAGTGTCCTTGGATTGTCACATGAATGAGAAGATTGATCACGACTTAGTACAGGCAGCTTAGTAGACGAAGACTCTCGGATCTTCATGTTTTTATCTGGTTTTCCAGAAGAGGAAACTGAGGCACAAAGATGCCATTTGCCTAAGGGCATCCATCTGATCAGTAGCAGAGCCTGGATCTGAATTCAGGCAGCTGAGCTCCACAGGCCACAGCCGTCACAGCTAACGTTATTTTGCCTCTCACAACACAGGGGTCAAGAACCAGGCTCTGGAATCAGACTGCCTGTCTCAATTAGAGTAATTAAAAGCTTTGGATACTTAAGCAAGTCATTTAATTTCTCCTTGTCTCAAAAGTTTCATTACTGGTAATGTGGAGCTAATAACAGTATTGACCTCACAGAGCTCTTTTGAGTGAGATAATCCATATAAAAACACTTAGCACCGAATCTGGCACAAGGTAAACACTCAGTAAATGTTAGTTATTGTTACCAATAAGATACAGGGGCAGAATCTGTTTGAAGGGATCCTTTGCTATTTAAAAATTGGAAACCAGAGAATTAAAGTATGCTGTCTCTCCCCAAATCAAAATCGTATTACCTACTTCAGGTAAAAACCTCATTTTTCAAAAGGAGGTCAGTATGTTTCAGTTCCTTTATCTATGAAATAGTAAGATAATAATAATACTCACTTCCCAGGTCTAAGAGACATACATTAAGTGCCCAATATGTTAGAAGTAAGAACAGTAGGGGTGCCTGGGTGGCTCGGTCGGTTAAACATCTGACTCTTGATTTCCGCTCAGGTTGTGATCTCAGGGTTGTGAGATCGAGCCCCATACTGGGCTCCACAGTTAGTGGAGTTTGCTTCTCTCCCTCTCCCTCTGCCCCTCCCCATGTGCTGTCGCTCTCTCTCTCTCCCTCAAATAAATAAATAAATCTTAAAAAAAAAGAAGAAGAAGAAGAAGTAAAAACAGCAAATTTCTCCTAGGACCTCTCCAGAATGGAGCTGCAGAGGAGAGGGAAATATGGTAGAGGGGCTTGGCAAAGAACAGACCAACTGTCCAAAACTGCAGAAGAATGTTCTGTGGTTCAGCACCTCCCGTCAGTGGCTCTCAAACCTTCTGGCCTACAGACAGTTCAAAAGGGCAAGGAACCTTCCAGATTCTGCCTGGTTCTCCAATGATAGATTAAACAGATGTATGAAGCAAAGCATTAATTTGTGTTCCAAACTCAAGTACAGATGTACCATTTTGTAGACACAAATGAGAAAATAAGACCCTTTTAGAGCATCTGGCTGACCCATCTGAGACCTCTGGTTACAAGGCACCTCTTGCACCATATCTGATGGGAAGGAGGCAGAGCCGAATCAAAAGCTGAAGTACAGGGCGCCTGGTGAAATTTCTGGCTTGCACCATCCTGTCACAAAGACACAGATCTTGACCCTGATTTCTTCCCTCTCACTGACGGATACATAGAGAAGATGTTTTGACCTTTTATTTTGATATACAAACAACTGTTGCTGTTTCATGTTGCCCAGATCAAAACAAGGGACAAAACACCACGCACCTCTGATCCATTGTGATTTGGAAGTGCATTGTATGAATGTCCTTTGTTATCGTGACCTTTCATGTGACTTTTGAGACTGTACTGAGTGCTGAATGTTTTCTCACAGCCATTACTGGGGCAGAAAAAGGGTCTTTCACCTGCAAGAATGACAAATAGTGTTAATATTCCCATAGTCATTTCACTGGATTCAGACATCTACTTTTCCCTAACAGAGGGAAGTAAATATTCCTGAGGGTTCAGGTAACAGTTGTTACAAGTTGGACAAATTACATGTTAACCATTTCAGTCCTAAAACTGAATGTAGAACAAACATAGCCTGCCCTGGCAAGTTTAAAGAGAAGATATGTTTTTTCCCCCCTCAGCTTCTTCTTTTGAGAATCTCTGCACTGGTTTCATTTCTTCAGGTTGGATTCCTGAGTCCAACCTTTAGATCCTTTTACCTCTGGAAGAAACTCAAACATTATAGGTGAAGGCTAAGCTGATTAGGCTTGCTCCTTCCACGAAGCTCTACAGGTCCCAAGGGAAACACAGATATTTACTGGCTTGATGAAGGTTAAGAGGAAAACTACAAATCAGCCTAAACTCACCAGTATGTGTACGGACGTGAGTTTTAAGGTGGTGGCTTGCCGCGAACGCCTTCCCACAGCCATCATGATCACACCTAAGGAAGTTGTTTAAGCAAAAGAAACAGCAGTCATTAGGGAAACAGGTCTTTATCGTCACCATCTCTTATAAATACAAACTCAAACTAAAACACATGTTCAGAACACTGAGGTCTCATCGAGGAAATTGGTTTTAGAGATGGGAAATGGAGATAGGTCACTGGAAAAAGTGACAGATCTGGGAACAGAGGGAACTGATGATCCAGGATAAATATTTCTTGTCCTACAAGTAAGTCACATGTTGAGAGCTCTGACAATAAAAGTCTTTTGATGAATTACTTAACAGAATTCTATTGACGATCCAGAGCTGATATGGAAAATCTACTGCCAGTGGAATACCAGGGATGTCAATAGTGGGGACAGAGGCTCTCACAGAGGCAGGAGGCCTAAAATATAACACTACAACAAAATCAGTCCCAACTACATTGACCGTATAATATAGAATGTATAGTGGTTGTAATGACTTATTCATAATCTTCAGTGTCAAGATCCATTTCTTTCTCTTTTACTTTCTTGATAACCAGCGCTGGAAGTAATCTCTCCCTCCTGAGAACTCCTGAGGCATTTATCTATGTGCTTCTTTTATGGCATCTGCCATTTCCAATCTTATTTTATCTCTATGTGTATACATTTGTTATCTGTTCTCCTAGATTATAAACTCTTTGAGGGCAGGGTCCAAGTAGTCCTTTACATCTGCTGTAGTTCTTGCACACAGCAGGCATTCAGTAACTATTTATATGAATGAATGCATTTTCTTGTAAGCCAAAGTATTTTATTTCTTTAAATAGAAAGCTTCTCTGGAGCATTTTACTTCTTAATAATATATAATCATGTGTCTAAAGCTCCATCTAATATTCAAGAAAAATTAGCAGTTTTAATCATCAAAAAATGCATGTGAATGAACAGAAATTAGAGTCCCCTCAACAGCCCTATGGGGGAAAAGGTAACCCAAGCGTCGCAAAATGTGGAGAGTAACCAACTAGAATTTAAATACTCTTACTTTCAGGGGTACCTGGCTGGCTCAGTCAGTAGAGCATGCGACTCTTGATCTCAGGGTTTTGAGTTCAAGTCTCATGTTGGGCATACAGCTTACTTATTTACTTACTTACTAACTAACTAAATAAATACTCTTGCCGTTAGAGGGGCTATGACTCAGGAATGAATCTTTAATTTTATTATTTTTTAAAGATTTTATTTATTTATTAGACACAGCGAGAGAGGGAATACAAGCAGGGGGAGTGGGAGAGGGAGAAGCAGGCTTCCCACCGAGCAGGGAGCCCGATGCGGGGCTCGATCCCAGGATCCTAGGATCATGACCTGAGCCGAAGGCAGACGCTTAACGACTGAGCCACCCAGGCGCCCCCAAATCTTTAATTTTAAAACACCATTCCATTCAGTTGTTGTTTAAGAGTTGACTGCCCCTGAAGACAGGGGCACCATCTAAGGATCCTGATAAGGAGAGGGGGAAGGTAGCATATTTGATGCCATGTACGTAACAGCAGTCTCTCCTGCCACAATTCAGAGACAATGTTTATGGGCAAGTTTTCAATAATACATCTATATTATATTTAGGGGAAATCCTTACAAACTGATGATCTTATTTAAAAAGTCATATAGGGGCGCCTGGGTAGCTCAGTCGTTAAGCGTCTGCCTTCGGCTTGGGTCATGATCCCAGGGTCCTGGGATCAAGCCCCGCATCGGGCTCCCTGCTCCACGGGAAGCCTGCTTCTCCCTCTCCCACTCCCCCTGCTTGTGTTTCCTCTCTCGCTGTCTCTCTCTCTCTGTCAAATAAACAAATAAAATCTTTAAAATAAATAAATAAATAAGTAAATAAAAAAGTCATATAATCATCCCAAAGTTGTTTTTGAACCCCTACTGAACGCCCAGACCCACACTCTACACTATGAGCAGAGAAGAAGGTAGATGATACAAGTCCTTCCTTCAAGGTTACCCGTTTACACGTGGATGTATTAAATACACATACATACACATGTATATATAGACTGAAATACAGACAAAAATGGATGCTCCTATATGTGTGAATACACACGTATTACAAGGCAACAACTAAACAAGCCACAAAATAAAATACCTGCATTCTTACCCCTCATCTCCCCTCTCATGGTCTTCTCTCCCCACCTCGATTTTTAGGTAGCTCTCCCTTCCGTTGTGCTCAAAGTCGTTTGAGCACCTTGGTCTCATGTACTGTCTGGTTACTGGGGGTTTCTTTCTCACCAGACTACGTGCCCAAGAGAAGAGCGTGTGTCTTGGTATTTCTCTAGCACTGATAAAAGTGCCTCCCACCTTAAGTGAGTTTCAACAACTGCTCGTTGAAAAAGGGAAAGCATGAGGCGGAAAGGCTACCACCAGAGTCCAGAGTAAGGATGCTCTTAGAACCCATCGCCACGCCTCCCGTGTGCGGCAGTTGGTTGTAGCTGCCAAAGAACTAGCGGAGGGAATTTTCTTTCCGCTTTGAAAAATGTCAGGGCCACATGAAGACACCCAGCTGCAACCTGGTCAGCGACAAACAGACGACAGTAAGACTTACCGAAATGGCTTTTCTCCTGTATGGGTTCGAATGTGCTTCCTCAGATCACTGAGTGTGGTGAAGTACTTGCTGCAGCCTTCGGATTCACAGTTAAACGTTTTCCCTGTGTGAAGCCTCTGATGTGCTTTCAGCCTGCGAGACAGTCCAGAGACAAAGTCCCTCTGTCATTTGCATAATGTACGACAGAGCTTCCCCTCCCATGTCAGCTTAATGTGCTTCAGGATCCAGTGCCTAAGAATTCCACATCCATAATATATTAGTATGCAAAATTTTTTGCTTGAAGAGAAATTCAGAGAAGTATGTAGCCTAGTGGTAGGAGTGTGACTGTGCAGCCAGACTGCCTGGGACTCAAATCCTGGTCCCACTTCCTATTGGATGGGGGAGCCTCGAGCCAGTTACAAAACCTCTCTGTGCTTCCACTTACGTATCAGCTCTGTGAGGATTAGAACTCAGGACAGTGCTTAGCACACGGTGAGTGCTTCCTAAGCGTTAGCTATTGCCACGTTTGTTATTTTAGACCCAAAGTTGAAGACTAATAGAAGTCTCCTGATACAAACGTGTACAAGAGAACTGGCTAACGAGTGGTAGAAAAAAGTTATCTTCAAGGTGAGGAAGGAAAGAAAATGACAGAAGCCTCTGTACAAGACCCTGAGCCAAGGGGAGGCAACAGTACAAGTATTAAAATCCCCAGGCCAGTATGTCACTCCCGGAGATACAAATCTGAACACGAATGTACTATCCTTTTTAACCAACCCCATATACGTCAATCTTTAAGTAACAAGTTCCTCCAGCGAATTTTAAACATTTGAGAGCACAGCTGTGCTCTTTATTTTTTAATTTTATTTTTTTAAGTAGGCTCCATGCCCAGCGTGGAGCCCAGCACGGGGCTTGAACTCACGACCCTGAGATCAAGACCTAAGCTGAGACCAAGAGTCGGACGCTTAACGAACTGAGCCACCCAGGCGCGCCCCAGCTGTGCCCTTTAAAGCGCTGGAATTGCCCATCTGCACAGGGCAAGGAGAGGGCTCTGCAATCACAAGGCCAGGGACAGGGGTTGGAGGAGAGGCCAACCTGTACAGCGTGTTGAACGCCTTCTCACAGCCCTGCACGTCGCACTCAAATGGCTTCTCCTTCGTGTGCACTCGCACATGGATCCTGAGGCTGTAGGAGGTGAGGAAGGCCTTGCCACAGCCCTCCTGATTGCAGACAAAGGTGTACTCTCCTCGGTGAGTCTTCTGGTGGGTGCGCAGGTTGCCTGCTGTGCTGTAGGTGCGGGGACAGCCCTCAAAGGTGCACTGGTACCGCTTTACCTGGCAGACAAAGGACACCTCATCAATAGGACAGAAGAGCTGCCCAGGGCCTAACTCCCCCCAGAGCCTGGCTCCCAGGAAATGTCGGTATCATAAACACAGAAAACAACCTCTAACAACAAAGTGGGGAAATCTTCCCCTTGATCAAATCACGCCAGAACAATAAATAATAAGTCACAGGGATGAGATAAGCTTGTAGGCAGATGAATATTCTAAATGAATATACTAAGGGGGGTTTTCAAACTCTAGCATACATCTAGCATCTAAAGGTGGGCCCACACTGTTACAGTTACCTATACTGAAATAACATTTTGGGGTTTTTTTTTTTTTTAAATTTATTTATTTATTTTAGGAAGAGAGAGAGAGAGACTGAGACTGTGTGTGCAGGGGGGAGGACAGAGAGAGTCTTAAGCAGACTCCCCACTGAGCACGGAGACTGACACGGGGCTCGATCTCATGACCCTGAGATCGAAATCAAGACTTGGACACTTAACGACTACACCACCCAGGCGTCCCTTGACTTTGTTTTAAGGCTTGATTAAACACCCTGCTTTATGGCACCCCACCTTGATTGGAATTGACCAATGTTAAACTGGGTCTAAAACATCCTGACATTGACATACTCAGTCATCAAGCAGTATCTCCCTAGCATAGTTTCCACTGCAAAGTTTCAAGTCTATGAAATGAAAATACTGTATCGTGAAATTCTTGGAGTATTTGCTGGTATGACATTTCTCAAAATGCCAGCCTCTCGGTTTCACTTTCACCGCCAAACTTCTTGAGAGGGTGGCATACATGTGTGCCTCCCTCTCCCTCGATGCCCACATATTCCTTAACAACTTGGCAAGCTGGTTTCACTGCAGGAAATTATTCTCTTGCACTTCCCAGTGGCCAAACCCTTCCATCCTTCTCCATTTGCCTTCACTTATTTGCAAACCTCTTGCATCGCCCTCCCCTCCTGAAAACTTGTCCTTCACAGCACAGCAATCCCACAGGGCTCTCTTTATCTTCTTCTCCTCGAAGCCACGCCTTTCCCTTCACCTTGATATGTAGGTTTATTCTGGAACTTATCTCTCCCCTCCCATGCCTGCCCGGTGCAAGGGAAGCAGCCTTAGATGTGGCTGGAGGAGACTGAATTTCTGGCACTTACGTTCAAGACCTTCCGCAACTCATTTTGCTTTTCTGAGCCTCAGTTCTTTATTTCTCAAATGAGTATTAATGCCTACCCTGCCTGTCTCATGTGCTGTGGAGTGGAACGAAATGAGATCAAACATTTGTGAAAATACGTGGTGAATGATCTGATGCTGTACACACCAGGGTGCTAGTATTGTCTCCTCTTCAGCTTTCGCCAACATCTTCATCCTTTGACCCGACCTTGCTCCAAAGCCAGTCCACATCTCCAACTACACTATTAGTATTCATTCCACAGTTACTGAACTCTCAGGTCCCAGGCAACAAGCTAGATACCGTATCAGATAAACAAGTGAACAAGACAAAAATCTCTGCTTTTAAGGAGTGCCAATTTTAAGGAGGCATATGTGCACAAATTATTATAAACTATGCTGAGCCCAACAACAGATATTTGCCCAAGGTGCCTAGGGAATATAAAAAAGGGAAACCTAACTCTTCCTGGAAAGACTAGAAGTAGTAAAAGGCTCAGAAGCTGAGGTCCTCTCTCTGAAGTGTTTTTTTCACTTGCCTGTCTGTTGTAGGGATAAACTGAAAATGTGTTCCTCAGACAAACCAGGAAGAGAAGGGCAGTCTAGAAAGTGGTGACACAGGGTGCCTGGGTGGCTCAGTAGGTTAAGCATCTGACTTCAGCTCAGGTCATGATCTCAGGGTTGTGAGATCGAGACATCAGGCTCCCTGCTCAGTGGGGAGTCCGCTTTTCCCTTTCCATCAGCACCCCCTCTCAAATAAAAAAAAAGAGGTGACACCTTGGGAACTGCATGGAAAGAGGAATGAGTGTGCTGGTACAGTGAACCACAAACATACCTGCAGTACATAAGAGGCTATAAGGAGAAGGATCTAGAAAAATAAGGTGAGGCCTCCTTAGTCAAGCTATGGAGTAGAAGAATAGGACAATGGAGGCTCACCAATGGATTTCAACCAAAAGAGCAACATATCAGATCTGCAGTTTAGGAGAGATCCTTCTGGTAGCCTAGTGGAAGATGGACTGGAAGGGTAAGAGAACAGAAGAAGGCATAGAGACTAAGAGAAGAGGGACAATAGTCCAGGAGGGGATGAGAAGAACCTGAATGAGGACGTGAGAGTGGACAGTATGAGAAAGGAATTCCAGAGAAATTAAAGGGGGAGGAATGACTGGCCATAGTGGCAACTGGGTGCAGAGAAGCAGAAGGGGTTAGGGAGAGGCAAAGTAGAGGTCAAGAGTATGGCCTGGATGACTAAACAGATGGTCACATCACCAAGCTGGGGCTGAATGGAGGGTGGAGAAGAGATCATGAGTTGGCTTTGAGGTGGTGCGAGGACTTCCAGGTAGAAACTTCTAGTAGATAGACATACAGGCTGCAAGCTGAAAGGAAAGCCTACGGCAGGAGTCATCAGTACACGTAGATGACTTAACCTATAGCAGGCTCTGGTTCAAGCCCAGCTCTGCCACTTATTCTGTAACCTTGGGAAAATTACTTAAGTGCACTAAGCCTCACTTTGCTTATCTATAACATGGAGAAAACAAAACCTATGTTTTTAGGTTTGTTGTAAGGATCAAGAATAATTTGTGTAAAGCATTTAAATATGGTGACAGGCGTATCATAGGCATACAATAAAATAATAGCTCTTGTAAGAGGACAAAGGCTAGACCTTGGAAAGTCACCAATGTGTAAGGTGCTGGTAAAAGAAGAGAAGCCACTGACAGGTGAGTGGGGGGAGGGGAGGGGAAAACAGGAAGAGATGCCAAGGAGAACGATGGCACAGAAGCCAACAGAAAAAGGATCTCAAGGAAAAAGAATGATCCAAACATGAAATGTCCAAGAAAATAAGGAAGACAGGACTGAGGCAACTCCTGGATCCAACAGCTAGGAATCACTAATGGCTTAGCAAGGCTAGTTTTAATGGACTGCTGGGGCCCGAAGTCTGGAGGAAGGTGAATAAACCAAAGGTGAAGTGGAGGTAAAGATGAGAGATGGACAGCAGCAGCAAGAGAGGGGGCTTCTGAGTTGATGAGGATTTCTTTCTTTCTTTCTTTTTTTTTTTTTGAGTAGGGTAGGTCCTGAGCATATTTGGAAGGAGAAAGGTCCCGGAAAAAAAGAGAAGCTGAGGATCTGAGAGGAATATAAAAAAGAGAAGGGTATTTAAAAGGCTAGTGGAGGGGCGCCTGGGTGGCTCAGTCGTTAAGCATCTGCCTTCGGCCCAGGTTATGATCCCAGGGTCCTGGGATCGAGCCCCGCATCGGGCTCCCTGCTCCACGGGAAGCCTGCTTCTCCCTCTCCCACTCTCCCTGCTTGTGTTCCCTCTTCTCGCTGTGTCTCTCTCTATCAAATAAATAAAATCTTAAAATTAATTAATTAATTAATAAAAGGCTAGTGGAGGGAAAAATCTCAGGTGGGAAGAGGGACAGGCAACTTGAGAGCAGAGAGGGACTGAGGTAAGGACAGGTGTGTTCAAGGGTGTACAAGGTTTCCATAAAGGGCCAAATGGTACATATTTAAGGCTTTGTGGGCCATGCAGACTCTGTTCCAACCACTCGACCCTGCTGCTATTATGTGAAAGTAGCCATAGACAATATATAAATGGACAAGCCAGGCTGTGCTGCAGAAAAACTTTATTTATGGACAGTGGAATTTGAATTTCATATCATTTTCATATATCACGAAATACTGTTCTTGTTCTGATTTAAAACAAATCATTTAAAAATGTAAAAACCACTCTACAAACACAGGCATCTGGATGGACTGGGCCTGTGGGCCACCGTTTGCCAAACCCTAAAACCTGTGGGTGTGGGGAAGGGAGGAGCCCTAACTCCTCCCGTCTCCCCTCCCACTCCTTGTCTCATCTGTCCAACCCCCAACACAATCTTGCACAAGTGCTCCCTCACTTTTCATTCCACAGCCTTCCCACTACTACACAGGAGGTGCTCCGTCAACCCTTGATGACAGCAGAATGACTGACCCCGAAGTCCAGGCGTTTTCGTGTCTCAGTGCCTACATCTGAAGCCAATCGTTCCCAGATTTGTTCTACAATGTATTCTCCACACGCCACCTCTATGCTCAGATGCGAACGTCCCTTCGCCTGATATTCAAGGTCCCCCCGTAGGTGTCTTCTGCTTTCTCCCCTGTGACTCCATCACCAGCCCAACAGGAGGCTCTGTTTGGGCCCACAGGCAACAGGACCCCCCCCCTTCCCTAATCGCCACAATGAGTCCCCACTTGCCTGCCTCTGCTCTCTCCATTCTCTCTGCTGGAAGTGCCTGCTTCCTTCTCTGCTTTTCTGAGTCTCTCTCTTCCTTCCCTTCAGGCCTCACTACCTCCAAGGCGCTCCAGGATCAACACACGACGAAGTGACAGTGCCCTTCTCTGAATTCCAATCATATTAAACTATACCACTTATTTGGCACTTAGCCTGTGTTGTTAATTTTCCTCTCGTGCCTATATCCTGATTTCCCATCAAGACTGAAAACCTCTTTGGTTCTGCCAGGCAGAGATTTCAAAATAGTCACCGACCAGGAAGGAGAAGTGGACCGTGGCTGCAGCAATAAAAGAGTAGCATGTCTCAATCAGAGCGCGTCAACAATGGCAGCTGATAAGAGCAGACTCTCATTCTTAGGATGCGACAGCAGTTGGTCACTTTATAAGGAACAGTGCAATCAATCATTAACTACCCCTCCTTGTCTCCTTGCCCGGCCAACCCTACTCCCATCCAGGATTTTCACTTGGCCAACTCAAGCTTCCATTAAAAGCTCCTTCCTCAAGGAACTGTTTTACATCATTAGCTCTTTGGTTGGTGGGCACGGCAGTAGCTGGAGAACATGAGGCACTAAATAA